TAACTTCAAATTCTCTTGCCATCAACACGCCTCTTTCGTTGCAATCAACGTGCAAGCGGCGAATTATTCGCGTTCTCAGTACAAAAAAGTGCTCAAAATTATGCTCCTGCTTTATCTCGCGTCCCCCCAGCCGTCTGTCCGAGGAAATCGGCCAGCTGTGGGCTTTTTCTTGCAACCTTGCTTCACTCACGCGGATATCTTCCACTTCAGCTCCCGCAACGAAAATACAAAAAATGAGGATATATGGGTGAAAAATCTGTGGCTGCTCTTCGACAACTGCAGGAAGAGCTGAGTTCACTTGATACAAAGTTGGAAGCCCACGACGTTCCGCGGGCGAATTCGCATGTCGCACCACGCGTGTGCGGCATTGAAACTCATATCTATGATTTCTTAATTGCTAGTTTGGCACATCCTAACTTCCCTACACATTGTGCTGTCCTGAACCGCCGGTTGGCCCCTCAACAATCATCAATATTCATATTTGATCTCAAGCTTCCGTCGACCTTGAAACGACGAATATTCCATACCCAACGTGAGGTAGGAGGGTGCAGTCCTCCCGCGTGCCGGTAATACTGTATTTTTGGACCTCCCGGGAACACCCTGACACATATTCTGACCAGCGACTACGATGTCCAGATGCATGTTCCTCAACACGGGAAAGCGGAGCGCCGGCTAATCTCATTATTGCGCCATCAGGGCATATAATCCGAGCTCCCCTCAGCTCGGCGCCACCACTGCATCAACGCCGCAGCACGCAACGTTGCCAACATGTTTTATTCCATTTTTTAAAATTTGCTCAACGGCGCCTGCCTCAACATATTTGTTGACATTTGGGTTCTGTTCATTACAGTTTTCATCCAATGTATTTGATCCTTGTTTCATGCATTCCCAGACACAGTCCAAATACTTCGCGCGCGCGGACCTGAGAACACCGTGGGATCGTTCACGTATCCGGATCAACCGGAATTGACAGGATCAGATGGGATCAGTCACGAGGACTGTCCTAAGTATGTACATATGTAGGTCTCCACAGGCACCGTTCATGAGCCACTCTTTTCGGGAAGCTCAAGCCCGATAGTAATATCTCTCAGTACCACGTACCACGTCCCTATCGCCCGCTCGGTCCCTACAGTCTCAAAAATCAATCGTTGGGTGACCCACGTATACAGCTGGCGCTTTAGCTCGACTGTCGTTCCCCAGGAGCAGCAGCAATAACGCGAATATCAGTAGCCGTGGCCTTGGTCCACGGCAACAACACCGTCGCGGCGTGTGCGCGGCTGTAGCTGCAAAGGATGTTCATTCACATGTCCGATGATGGAGAATCGTTGTCTCGGAGGGTGAGTGTATGTTATCCTTCGTTTGTTTTGTTTTTCTTCCCTGTCCCTTCCTTTCCCCGGCCGCCTCCCCTTCCACCCCTTCCCTTTTGGCCTGTCCCCTTGTGTCCCATTCTCCGCCGCTCCATCGCTCCTTTGGTACCCACACCTGCCCCATACCCATTCTGTCCCGTCTTCGCATTCTTCCGCTGGCCGCTCCCAGTCGTCTGCGCCGCATTCTCCTTCTGGCGTTTGCGTCGCCACTTCCTCGTTCCGTTATTCCGCCGCCATCGCACAGTCCCTCATCCTCCGCATCCCTCCACTCCTCTATCTTCGTCGGACCTGCGCGGTTCATCGTCTCTGTTCCCACATCCCTCCCGTGATTACTGTCCTCCCTCCTCTCCTTCCTTCCATTCTATCGCGTCCATCCCGCTTACCTCCCCCTCGGCCCTCGTCTCCGTCATTTCGACCCCCGTGGCAGCGCTCCCCGTCCCACACTTTCCCCCTTCCTTTCACTCTTACAGGGAGGTGTATCGAAGCGGGTGGGGCCGAGGAACCCTGCCCGCATTGCACTGCTTGCGAGCCCCTCGATCGCCCTCCCCATCCGCTCCTCCTTCGCACACCCCAGCTCATCTCGATCCCGTGACGAAATCCACGCTGCCGCTCATTTCGTTTATGCCCCCGCACGCTCCTGCTCCCTGCTCCCCGTTCCCCTTCAATTTCTATCCCAGCCTACATCTTCGAGCGTCGGGCCGCTTCCCCTTCGTTCCACCTTTTTTATTTCTTGGCACTTGCAGCCCCTCTCTTTCCCCCAAGCCAACCACCTTTCATTCCCTCTACTTCTGCCCCACCCAGGACGTCCCACCACGTTCTCTACCTCCTCCGCCGCCGGGCTCCCTCCCCGTCTGTAACTTTTCCTCGGTGGTCGTGTCCGCATTCGTCAGATGCACGTGACCACCCTCCATTTTCTCTTTCTCGCCATCGTCCCCACTCTCTCGCGCACGTCGTTATCATTTCTTGCGCTCGCTATCTCTACATTCACTCTCCCTACGCCCCGCGCGCGTACCCCTCCCTCCCTGCTATCCATCCTCCGCATCACCGTCCCATCTACCGTCCTTCGTCCTTCTTTTCTCCTTCTTCGTCTGCTTCTTCCTCCGGGTTGTCTTCGTCTGCTAACCCCGTCTTCCAGCGTACGCCACCCTACGTTCCCCGCGCTCCGCGTGTCGCCCGTGTCGTGCGAGCCAGGTGCCGGCGGTGCCGGCGCCTACGATGACGAGCGAGTCGCCCGCGCTCGACGAGCCGCCGGAAGGAGGAAGTGGACATTGTGCGCGACAAGCTGTAGGCCCTCTCAGTCCCCCGCTGCCCGTGCGCCGCGCCACGAGCACACTCTGGCAGAGATGCCTGGCAGCTTTCCTGCGAGACGAAATCGGACGAAGACGCGTCGCTGTCGAGCAGGATGCCGTACGCGGCGCCTTGGGCGGCGACGCGAGCACCTCACCAGAAGAGGGGAGACCGCGGCACCCCCAAAGACAGAGGAAGGCACAGGTTCTTGCACCGGGGACCGTCTCATTACAAAATACATTTGGTCATTGAGACGATCTAGGTGGTCTGCATCCGGTCTGCGTAAGCCAACTCGGCTGCCAGCCCGTAGCAGTAACTAGTCGGTAAAGGTGTATCTATGTACAACTACTGGCACGTAGATCGCGCGATATTGCGAGGCAAGTCGTCGCGTTGCATCGGCGGAACAGCGAGGGCATGCGGTGGCGGAATCACCGCGTTCGCCGATGCGGTCGTATTTTCCAAATACTCTCGCCCGAACAACACTCGGAACGCCTCTCCGGTCGGTGTACACGCGCGCATGTCGAAGGCCCAAGGCTCGCCCCCCTCGTGGTCGTAGTCCGCGTACTTTGCATACAGGCTGCGCTCGTCGCTCGTACTGCCGATGCGATACGCACTGACGGAGGCCGGGGACCCGCGCTGCGTGTACACAGAGAAGAGGACGTTGGCGAGCGGGCGCACGATCCGAGGCGAGTCCTCGACGAGGACGGGCGGTTCGAGGAGCTTCGTAATGTGCAGGTGCACGAGGTGCGGGTCCGTCGGCGAGAGCGCGAAGTGCGCGAGGGCGGTGCCTGCGGGGCGTCAGTTCCGTGGCGCAGAGAATAGAGGAAAGACGGACCCTCATAGGAGAACGACCGCACGCGGGCCGCGTGGTTGGCGAAGATGTGCACGAGCTCGATGTTATAGAAACACGTGTCGCCGACGACCGTGAGGGTCAGAGAGCGGGCGAAGTTGACGACGAAGAGCTGGTTCGGGCCGAAGAGCAGGAAGGCGGGTGGGGTACGGACCCGCATTCCGACGCGCGCTTTCCACTGGGCGATGCCGGCGGCTGTGAGGTGGCCCTCGTGGAGAAGCTGTGCGCGGAGAGCGATCTGCGTGCTGATGACGGCCTGGGCGAGGAGGATCTGCCAAGGCAGGCCATTCGGCAGCGCGAGGTCGTTGCCCGCGGCAAAGGAGGCGGGGTCCTCGGAAGGCGTACAACGGAAGCGGACGGAGGAGGCGAGGGTGGAGAGCGCGAGTTGCGGGGCGAAGTAGAGGAAGCCGCGCGCGTGAGCGGGGAACGGTATGAAGGCGCGCGGCATGGATGAACTTGGCCCGTGCCGGAAATAAGCCAGCTGCATGTCCGAGCCCTGCGCGGAGAGCGGGAACGTGACACGCCGTCGGTTCGAGCCGGCGAGGTCGAGGAAGTCAGCAGGCTGGAGCAGCTCGGGCGTGAGCGTGGAGATGGTGCGGCGTGGCGGACCTTTAGTGGGCTGTCCGACTGTTAGAAGGCCATTGGAGGCGTATAGTACCCACGTACAGTCGTTTTTGGTGGTGCATTAGAGAGTGTATGCTGAGCACGCCTCTGGCCCCACGATCCTTGTGTGGAAGGCGCGAGCACAGACGCGGACTAAGCTGTTTTCAGAGCACATCGCACTTGAAGAATTTGCACATACTGTGGTATACCGGCGGGGCGTGCGGTATCCATTATCTCCTCCGCAGAGCTGCGAAGAGACGTGGCCATGAGACCCTCCAGCGAGGGTTAGGAGCCCCCCGCGCGTTCGCGTCAGCATCGACACTGTGTAGCACCGGACGTGGCGTGGGCGCTTGATACACTCCAGTTTATTGGAAATGGCTTGGACGGGGAGAGGCGCACATCCTCCGGTGTCAGTCCCATGCCATATTCCGGTAACGAATTGATTTCCAGAGGATGAAGCCTCTCGGAGCGTGCGTACTGAGTGCGCAGATATGCATCCACCACCATAGGAGTGAGGCTACAGCAGTATGTCAGAGCACATCTTACACCCGCGGAACCCGCTCACACACCTCAGCCGCCCGAGTCTCCCCAGCACAGATAGTCGACTGTGCCGTCAACGTTGTTCAGAGCACATCCTCGCCTGTGAGGAATACGTACCCACCGCATTTCGCTGACTCAGGTTTTGCTGGCATGTGTCTCCCTTGTAGACAATGCGGAGGCTGCTACATACGCCCCCGAATCGTTTCATGCATGAAGTTGCGGGCGAGCCCAAGACGAGGAGCGAGGAGACTCAGGAGAAGGAGCAGTGGAAAAGTACGAAGAAAATGAAAGAGAAAAGACGTCAAATTCTTCTTTCTGCCTGTTGTATTGGAATGGAGGGAAATATTCACACAGCATTGGTGGGGTAGTGGTAACCTGGGTCGTTGCCATTTTCGAATCTTGTGATCGGATTCGACCCGCCGGGGGTTCGATTCCCTCCCAATGCATACTTTTGGGCCATCTTTTTTCCTGCACTGGAATGTGCCCGCCCTTGCCGTTTGTTTTCATGCAGCACCAATGCTGCCGAGAGCAGTAACAATTGATCCAACTGCGGTGAGCCACCATCTCAAAGGAGAATTGAGTTCAAACAACAAAAATCAAATGACCCATAGAACGCAACACAGACATGTACATTTATAGGGACAAACGAGGGTCAAATGCTAAAAAATAAGGATATATTCTTGAGTACCTAGAATTCACTAGTCTCAAGGGACAAACATATGTACAGAAGTGTATTGCATAAAAGCTCACCCATGTGTTCCGGCTGTGGTCCTGGCTATTCCATAGCATGGTGTCTATGTGATAGATGATCCGCTGTATGCAGGGTGTCTGGATGATCAGCACCGAGGAGAGCTTTTTGCCTGTCAAGGAGCTCAGCCCAGAGCTCCTCTGCCTCCTGCAATTTGCCTTGGGTGTGATATGTAGAAGCGAGACTCCCCATTATCGATAGGGTATGAGGATGCTCTTCCCCCAGAATGTGCTTGCCCTTTTCAAGCACCACAACCTGCAGCTTCTCTGCCTCCCACAATTTCCCCATGTTCTGATATGTAAAGGCAAGCCGCCCCATGGTACGCAATGTGTCAGGATGATCATCTGCCAGGAGCTTCCTCTGTTTATCCAGCACCACAACCTGCAGCTCCTCTGCCTCCTGAAATTTGCCTAGGTTGTGATATGTGGAAGCAAGAGTTCCCATCGTCCATATGGTGTTGGGATGATCATCTCCCAGGAGCTTCCTCCACTGATTGAGGACAACAAATTCAAGCTGCTCTGCCTCATGCAATTTTCCCAGGCCATCATATGTAGAAGCAAGATTGCCCATGGTATGGAGGGTGTCCGGATGATCCTTTCCCAGGAATTTCGTCTGCTTCTCAAGTACAACAGCTTCAAGCTCCTCTGCCTCCTTATATCTGTGCTGTCGGTGGTATGTTGATGCCAGAGACCCCATAGCCTGCAGTGTGTCTGGATGGTCTTCACCAAGGACACTTCTCCGATGCTCAAGGACTGCCAGGTCCAGCTGTTCAGCATTTTTTGGTCTTTCTGCATTAAAGTATAGCCTCCTATAATCACTCCGAAAAGCAGGGCTTATATTTATGTTTCCATAGAGTAACGAATCAACATGAGGCAGGAGTTTCAAACTAGCCAGCCGCACATCTTGGTTTGGAATTGCAGAAATTGACATTCCAACTATGGCAACCATGCAATAATGATATTGACCCTGGTCTGCAAGTGTGCTTCGACTCCAGCTATGCACCAGGGGATGGATTGAAAACAGTTTCCCATCTGGATCAAAGTTGGCTAAGGAATATGCTGTGATTTCATTCATGACATCCATGAACCGAAGAGAGCTCCAGACACCGCTTGGCCCTGAAAATTGGGATAGAAACTCGAGAGGGTCATGTAACTCTTCCTTGGATAGACCATTTGATTGAAAGCAGTATGAAGATGCCCTGGAAAAGATCTCCTCAGATATTCCTTTGTGGTGAAGGAATGAACACAGTTGTAAAAGTGTTGCAGCCGGTTTGCTGAGTTGGTCAAAGCTGATCTGCCATGTTGTATATACTGTCCGAGCATAGTCATCATGAGATTGATCTGGCCGTTCACTCAGTAATTGGGCTTGGTTCTCTGCATAGAGGTTTAAATAGCTGGCCAGTGCCCCAGATTTCGATATGAATGCTCCGGCTTGAATGATGGCGAGAGGAAAATACCACAATGCCTTAAAACCGTTGAATATTATATCAATCAATAACTGATCCTCGCTGACCTTCACAATTTCAGCTGCAATTTCCTTGTTACCCGGTGTGATGGTTTGAGCGGCACTTTTGAGTAACAGTTTCACAGCGTCTGTTTCTTCCATGTCAGAAACCCGAGAATCTGATCCAACATAAACTCGAAGGCCAGGATTTCGTGATGTGATTAGGATGTTTCCATGATTGCACCGGGGGAAGAAATTGTTAAGATTGATCCTGGGATCATCTGCATTGTCGATAACTAGCAGCCAGTCAGCAGGATTTCTGGTGAGCCACTGTAGGGCTGCCTCTGCAGTGCTTCCAGTACTGGTTACCGCAGCTATATTCTTAAGAGCTGTATCAATTGTTTCGGTAGTACTGGCATCAATGAGAAATATATCGGAGAAGCTACATATTGAAGTTCAATGTGATGTCAGTTTGAACGAAGCTCAACTCACTGAGAGGATTCCTCAATGAATTTGAGAGCGATCTGAGTCTTCCCAGAGCCACCGAGCCCATGCAGCAGGAAAATATGCTGCTTTCCGATGTCATGGGTGAAGAATTGATGCATTTGCTTCAGGATCGTCTGCCTGCCACGGAATATCCGGGATGGAGGGGGGCAATTGTTCGTATGGTGCCTTTCTTGGGCCCCAGGGAGCGCTAAGCAATCCAGATAAGTAGGTACATGTAGGTTGCGAGAAAGAAAAATGTCACAAGGTAGTGTTATAGTTGCAAGGGCCTCGTGAACCTTGTGCACTTGCAGATTTGTATCAATTGCTGCCAGGAGCTGATGATCTGTAAGTGATTATGCTTTCAGACGATTGAGGGCATATACCAGGAAATTTGAACGTAGTTCCTGCACTCTGGTCCTATACCGATTGATCTCATCTGTGGTCCTGCTCAGCTTTACCAGCTCCTTGAAACGGCTGCTAAGGCCTCGCGGTTCTATTTTCAATTGCTTCACTGTCTTCAAAACATCCTGCAGCATGCTAAATATTATTTAATTATCAGTGCCAGCCAAAACCGACATGATAAGCAATTAACCTGTCAAGGTCCTCACATAGACTCTTGAACCTCACGGCAGTTATCTCTCCATGAGTAGAAAGCTGCTGCTGGACGATCCGGATGATCTCGATAATATTTTCACACAGCTCCTTCAGATCGTCCCGATTTTTCGTCACTTTCTGCGGACATCAGAGTTAGCCAGATGCTCTGCGAGGAAATGAGAAAAAATTGAACCTCAACTGTCTCCAAGATCATCAGAGCTATTCCAAAGACACCTTTCACAATGGGGAAAGGGAAACATTCGGCTCCGGAAACGAGGGCCTTGCGGTTATGAGCGAGGGTGCAAGCCAGTCTAAGTTTGATTGAGAGGATTTGGGTGTTTGGACCATTGGGCCCCTGAGGAGTGCTAGATTCCGGGTGCTGGTCGACATGGCGGGGGAGAGGTAACCACCACATGTGCTTATCTGCTGATGTGCGTTACAGCTCTCAACTGTCCTAAATCGGCTCTCGATCTCTCACGATTGTTAGAGTGTGTGTCACTGTCATGACGGGACAGCATATTCCGTACAAGGCGGAGTTATGTAGTACGCTTACAGCTGTTTCCAAATACCTTGGGACTCGTGAAAGATTCTTACACACGCAAAGTTTTGATGGAATGCTAAGGATTGCCGGATTGGGTTTGGATCAGCTGGCATTTCGGGAAGGGACATGTCCGCCAAATCAGCTCACCTCTCAAAAGGTCTTCCAACATGTACACCACAGTGCCCTCGACCAGAAATCTCAGATTCAACGTTATTTGACCCACAAACCCTACAATTGAGGTCAGCATAGATATTCGGACGAATATTCCAGTGGGAAGCGTCTGAGCTCGGCAGGACTCGGCTACGCTCGGAAACACCCGAAATGGCAATCCTTATCATTCCATCAAAAGTTGCACGAGCGAAACAAAATTGACCTGTCTCAAGGTTTTCGGAAACAGCTGTGAGGACCACTCTCAGATAAGGCTAGCTCCCAGTGACTTGGCTTATTTAAATTTCAATCAAGTCGCAGCCATTTAATGCGCATGCAGGGCACGGAGAACCAGAGATTTGATTCGGCTCGGGTGCGAGAGCCCCTTGAATACCCAATCTCCTGCAATCTTGGCTACGACGGGCCTCGCCTACAAGTTGAAGTCACAGGTTATCAGCTCAGAGCTCATTATCACGCCCGAATCGAAGCCTCGGGCGAAACTCCTTCCCGCGTGCGCGTGGATTGCTTGCAAGGATCTCAACCTCATACCACCTGAAACTGAACGACAAGAACATCCAGATATTTGTGACACTTCAGTTGCGATATTAATCACGTCGCGCCGGTTTGTTTCTATTATGTTTATCCAGAGTGGAAGGGGACCGGATCTGCGCTGGCGTGGAAGCTGGATATAGATAGGCCCTCAAAAAACTTCGAGTTACCTATCGCCAGAAAATGCGACGCATTTCAACGTTGCGTATGCGCCCTCTCAGATGTAGCATACGAGTGCCGGTAGGTGTAATTCGCAAGGATTACAAGGATAGCGTCTATGTAGGGCTATAATGCGTCCAAAACCGAGTTGATTGGGGATTTATGGAACAGAGTGTGGCGCAACAGGTAATGATTTCGTACTGATGTGCAATGTCCAGAGGCACGGACAGCTGAGAACGAGTCGAGCCGAGGGGTTGCGTGTACCCAATTGCAACGTGCACCCTCCGAGTGCGAGCATCCGCATATGCATACATACCTGTCACGGCACTACGTCAATGTTGACAATGGCAACAGGAATGGATCTTCGATATTAATGACGGTGTCGGGGTCAGGTTCTTCCAGAAGGCAGATAGAATGGACCAGTATGAAATCGGGTACGACGCTGGGCTTAGGCTCCGTCCCTTCCAGCTGATTAATCTCGTACTCAACTCGCAAAATGCCTCGCGGATATGCACCTCCGAGTCGTTGTATTACTCATTACCAAGTCCTCGGCGCGCGAGGCCATGTATCAACGCGCGAGGCCGGAGGAATACGAACACGATGAGGCCGTACGACAACCGCACGATGGGTTTATTACGCAAAATTGTTGCGAGTGCTCGCACGAAGCCCGAAACAGGAACGGGAACGTTGTCATTAAGATTCCTAATACATATATATGTCAGCCTTCGGCGGAAAAGGACTATAGTAATAGCAACCATAACGACGCTTCGCCGAGTCCG